TATAAGCTGAAACTCATAAAGTTATAAAGCAAATAGTTGGCACTTCTGTATTGCTCTCAGTCTGTATGGAATTTCTTGGTTAGAAATAGAGATTTTTTAGGGGCTGGTGCCAAGTGTGCTGGGTGCAGCTCTGACTGCCACCACCCCCCCCCCCCCCCCCCCCCGACCCAGAAATGGATTAAGGGGAAGAAAATGGATGGATGGATGGAGATAGAGATTTACTAATGAAGGAGACTGTGACAGTACTCCCAAGTCTTATTTGATTGTGTTATTTGAATGTGTTGATAAAAAAAAGATGACCTTATCATGAAATATAGACATCATTTGAACTCCGACAGCAGGTATCTCCAAACTCAGGCCTGCGGGCCAATTGTGGCCCTTTGTGCCATTTTCTGTGGCCCTTCTGCTGCTAACACAAAGTCCCCAATGAGGTACTTTGACAGTGTCATCCATTCAGCTCCACCAATACAGTCATGCTATACCTTGTTGTAAATCTCAGACCCTTTGGAACCCAGTCGTTGACTATATTGTCACAACATTCCAAATGAAATGCAGTGTGAATCAATAAGGACGTATCATAACTCATAATATTCCAGAATTCAGTCAATCCAGCTCGAATCCAGTTTTTTAAATCCAGATTGTCTGCCCTAAGTCAGGTCTGATGAACTAAAGTGGCCTTCTTGGACACCCCTGAACCAGCACTTTTCCACCAAGGTGCTGGTTCTGGGATATTTCGAAGCTATGTTAGTTTGTGTTCCTATAAGATTTCACCAGAACTTCAACCACAACCCTTTGGTCTGAACAGGTCAGGGCCAGTTTTCCTCACCAGGTTCCAAATTTTTTTAGTAGAAAACAAAAGAAATGGTTCTGAAATGGGAACTGGCTCGGCATTGGGTTGGTGAAAAAAACCATATTATTGTGCTGCCATGGGTTGATTAATTCTCAGTGTAGCTTGTAAATGGCTCATGTGACTGTGACGCTATGCAGACTTCAAACAAATAAAGAGGGTGATGTCCACACAGAGGTTGTAAGATGTTGTCCACTGGCCTCCAGACATTGTAAACCTGATCAACCATATGAAATGTTTTCCTAATAACTGTCCCAATGACACCACTTACTAAGATGTTACATATGAATGGAAAGATGTGTTTTGTCCAGAATAATATAAATCCTGAGTGGAAATGCCCACGTTAGATTGTCCAACATTACACAAGAATGGGTGAAAGCCGTAGTGAAAGGCGAGAAGGAAATTATGTCCAGATCCACTCATCGTGTTCTCAATCTCACACTAATAGGAGCGCACATGTTCAACAGCCTTTCATTGATCGCAGAGGTCCCCTGACATATCCATCTGACCCCAGCCATTTAACCCTTGGCCTGTGCTTCAAGCTAAAAGCATTCCCCATGATGTCCATTCGTTTTATTTACTTCACCCCAGTACATTTACCAATCAGTCGTGTCGTTTGTTTTTCAAGCGTTTGGTTATTATAGGCAAATAGATAGTTCCAAGCGTGAATTTAGGCAATATAGGGCATTTATCATTACCGGTATATCAGCTGTTTCAATAACACTAATTTGCAGCTGAAGTGTATGATAGTTTTTTGTCTTTTACCTCCAAAAGCAATACATTATAAACCAGTACAATGTTGTCAGGTAAATTAATGACTTATGTACTGGGGCCTATCTTATATAATGCATTATTTTTGACAATATAGAAATAATAATGATATATTGATAGACAATATTTATTTGTATTGCATAAAACTGCATTTTATGTTTTAGGATAATGCAAAGTGTGAAGGGTAGAAAGTGCTACCTGTAACCCCCATACTACCACAAGAGGGAAGTTTGTTTTTTTCCAAACAAAATAATTACCAATTGCAAAATTCAGGAAGGACCTAATCTCACTAGAGAAATCGCAAAAAATAATTTAGGTAAAGGTGCACTGTATTAATCCCTGTAGGGCAATTCAATCCTCTGCATTTGACCCATCCTGATGCCACTAAGGCTTAAGTCAGGAGCAGTGGTCGCCGTAGTAACAGGGCCCGGGAACCCATCTCCAGATGTTGATGCTCGGCTTGGTCAGGACTACCGGAGCTGGAGGATTTAACCTAGGAGCACTACTTTTGTTTTAAAAGACAGTTTATTGTGATGTCATAGATGGAAAATGACATCATACTTCCACAGGACGGAGACAGGAGCTTTTAGATACAAAGGATGGAGTTACATATTTGTGCCAGAAGTTCTTGACATTAGCTTGGATGGATTTAAAAACAAGGTCTATTTTTGATGAGGGAAAAGTTGAGTTGTTTTTTTTTCGTAACAAGTCTCAGTTAAGTCTCCCTTTAACAGCACAGAGAATTGCTTTTCATTATGTATTATGGTTGTTTTACATTTACACACTTAACTCTATTGTTGAGCCTATGAATATCCTCTTTTACATCTAGGGGTCATATAGACATACAAGCGCACCCTGTCATTCCCATAACTTGACATTGATCTTCAACTTTGATGCCTGGCTTTCATTACTGCTGAAGGGCGTTGTTTGTGAGAGCCATCTTCATGTAAAGTGCCCATAAATGATCGTCGGCCATGCGGGCAGATTTATGATGGCCAGAGGTTACAAGGAGACTAGGGACAGGGCATCCTCAGACAAAATGATCAGTTAGGCAGATGTGAAGATGGACGATAATGCAGTGAAAAGTCAGTTAACAAGTCGAGAGATTTCTTTTGGGCCCGTTCGAGATTGGATCGTAGACCTCAGTGATATGGTGATAACAATGACACCGTGATCTGATCCCTGACGATATGCCATTTTGCAGAACATCAAATTGTGGTTCACTGATTTCCGTCGTAGTGCCGCTCAGGGATCACCTTTTTCATCTCATTCCTCTTTCCGTGCCGCAGCAGTCAAGCTCAAGTCAAGTGAGTGACAAGTGAATATAACCAATCACTGTCAACGAGGAAGCTTCAGACGCAAAACGATATTTCAGCACAATAAAATGCGTGATGTAGGCTTTAGAAATTGCGATAGGACTTTTTGTTTGTTGTCCAAGTGTATACATTGTGCTTATATTGCAGTTAATTCTGGATCTTTTGTATTTGTGGTTGCACTGTTTAATTAATAATGAATCAATTAGGTATTCTAGTATTTTATAGACTCTGATACTACCACCTTTTGTGAAATACCCATCTCTATTTTACTTTATATGATTCCAACAAAACCATAATTTCTACTTCTGCTTCTAGTCTATGATACCTCTAACTCATACGTATGAATAAAAACGATAACATGTTAATAGTGGTTGTATCTTGTGGTCAGCAAATGCAGAACCTCTGGCCTTCCATTTCTATGTAGAATATATAGTTAACCTTGAGTGCAACATGGAAAATGACAGTTCAGAGAGTTAATTATTGTTTCCACTCACAGCAGTGTAATAACTTCTCTGCATACCTTTAGTCTCAAACACCATACATTAAATATGGAGAGGGAACATCAGGCATTTGCACAGACAAAATGAGAAGTTACTTAATGAAAGTAAATTATTATTTTGTAGGTAATTTGTTCTCAGATTTGACAGACCTTTGTGAACTTCTGTTACTATTGTACCAGAAATACAGCATTTTATTAACCGCGGAAAACCCATAGCACTAATTAGTAGTCTCCAACTTGTCCATTTCGAGTGTCTTAATGAAGTGTCTAACTACCAGAGCAGTCTATTAGGAACACTCCCTTGGGAAAGGTACCGGCTATGGTTTGTGACCTGTGACCCAGAGTGACCAGTATAGTGTGACCCTCGCAAGGCGTCTTGTTCCATTAGTTTTGTGAATGGGACCTCGACACGGGCTTTGTGCAAACAGATTACACCTATTGTTTGCAGATAGGATGACCAGCTGGCCACTGCATTGGCTCTGTTTGACCTGGAAAGACCATGTATTGTGAACTTGAGTGGTCAAATAAGTGTTGTAATCTGGCTTTAGATTAAGAAAATGTAAGGAATTACTATAATTAAGGTTGACCATGTAACCACGGAGGACCCCATTCAAACCTGTCTCCACGGAGATGTTTTTTTATATCTGCAGTGTTGAACATTAAACACAAAACATCTAGGATCTAAAGATTTCTTGCTTTTATTAGATATCAAAGACTTTATATCCCTGGGTTTCATGATCCTGTTCCATGAAGCGTTTTGAAGACCCTTTCAAAACATAATTTGGTTTCAATCATTTTGAATGATTCTGAATCATTTTCATGATTCTGAAACCCATGCATAATGCAGTATACATCATGTTGAAACAATGAGACGACTAACATACCATTATGTATGTTTAGCCCTAGATATGGCTTGTAACTTGGATATTGAGACATCACCTGTTTGACTCTTGGAAATATATTACATATTCAGTCTATTATCTTTTCTCGCTCTAATTATGTTCTACTTTCTTACAACTTGTTCATCAGCTTTTCTCACTCATGCAAAATATCATATCCAAATAAAAGTCATGTTTATTTTTTTAAACTAGAAACTTTGTAGTGTGAATATCTAAATTGCCCAATAATTGACAACTGATAACTACCATCTGACAACATACCAGTGCCGCCCACTACAAATTGCCCTTAACACTTGAGTGTGTTCTGCCCCTGACCCTGCGACGGGTGGCTTGGCTGACCACATCCTGCTTTGACCCACTTCTCCCATATGCAGAGGGGCGCTGGCCGAGAGACAGGTTAAAAGTTAAATGACCATGTTTACAAGGCAATTCTGTGAGTGTCCGTAAATCCTTATAAGATTTGCTCATGTGTTTTTGGGTCTCATAGTAAAAACCTTGTTGTGTTGATATATAGCATGTCTTGAGCAGCACAGTTGTGTCTAACTTCAGGCTGTGTTCGTCTACTCACACGGTTATGAATCTGATTAACGCAGGGCTTGCTTTTATTTGGACGCTCTTTGTTTGCATAAAGAGGCCCAAAGGGAGGTCAGGGGGTCGGCCCGGGCTTGTCAGAGAGCCTTGTGACATTTCTTTCCCACGTTCGGTGAGCGCCATTGTCCGCGGCGAGGAGTCTGCCTTAGCGTTTGGCCTGGGGAGGCGGTGTGGCGTGAGAGGGAGGCCCGAGGACCATTGGACCCACAGCAGGTTCCTGGGAAACGGGCGTAACCAGGCGGGGCGGAGGCGAGCGGAGACAGCATGGGGTCATTTTCCGGCTTGCTGCCCATGTAAAGGGCTTTGGAGCACGGTATTGGCCCCTGGAGGAGAGCTGGGGTGGAAGACCCTACAAAGGCCATTGTCCAGTGTATGTATGTGTGGACAGTAGAAGAAGCAAGACAAGAATTTAAATTAAAATCAATGTTCAAATGTAATTCCAAACAAGGCACTTCAAATAATTAGTTTGTACTTAAAACATAAAAGACATACTTTTATGTTTAATACTGTTTATTGTTGAACTGTAACAATAATCCATGAATCACGACTGCCAATTACAAATCAAATATAACAATAAATGTATAAATGTCTGAATTTAATTTTACAATAGTTTTGTCTGGACATATTATCTCTTTTATCTTTTGGATGTCTTCCAGCGGCTTCACTTCAGCTTTATTACTAATAGAATAATAATACAAGAATCACAATAATTTATTTGCCAATTACGTTCTAAACTCAATCAATCAAAGTCCATTCATCCATTTTCTTCCCCTTAATCCATGTCTTGGTCAGGGGTGGCAGTCAAAGCTGCACCCAAATCACAAAGCACCAGCCCATCAATCAAAGCAATATCATATAATCAATCACATTTATTATCGAAATAGATTTGAACTAGAGCTATAATGATTAATTAGGCCTAATATATATACTTTTATTTTTCTCTAACTATATTTACTGTGTTTGTTCATCTGCAGCTGATATGAACATTAAAACACACATCTATATTTCTTCTCAATAAGTACGCCGACTAGCCTGCTTGTACAGCTTGCATGTCATTTGAAGCTAACATGGTGAGCTGTTGAATAATAGATAAACATAAGCAAAATGAATAAATAAAACATATCTCTGTACCATTATCACCTTTTTCTTAGTCGACATGCCTGAAAAAATATAACCCACATTGGGGCTCATAATAAGGTCATTCTTTTTTAATGTTGTCCCGGCTCTGTCTCCGGGGCTGGAGCGTGGACGGTAATGTGTGTCTCGTCTTCGTGGATCCAAGTTTGAGAAATGAATCCTCTCGTGATGGTTCTATTAGAGTGGCTTCAGTGTGGACAGATTCAGTGGAGGATCTCAGTGGCAGGTTCAGGGTGTTTGCCTGTTACTTCTTCTCTATGACTATTGAATCTAGTTTAAGCAAACATACAACATGATCATCTACATCAGGGGTGTCCAAACATTTTAGTAAGAGGGCCACTTTAGTTCACCAGGCCAGTCCAGGGGTCCGCCAGATTGAAAAACTGTCTTGACTGGCAACTGGCTGTTCTGAGCTTTAGAATGATCTATAACAGAGCTGAAGTTGGTTGAATGACCATCTCACTAGCACCAGTGATGAAAGTGACACAATCAAAATCCATACATTATGTAAATTATGTAAAAACAAAGTCAACGACTGAAATCCAGATGTACTGGGGTTAAGAACGAGGTACAATATGTCTATATTGCCTGAGCTGAAGTTGGATGGATGACACAGTGAACTTGTGTTTATGCTCTGAAAGACTACTTGGGTTAACAAGGCAGAGGGCCAAATTTAAAGGATACAGAGTTTGGACATGCTTGATCTACATGGTTTAAAACTTTATTGTTTGTCTCTTCCTTAATAGTGCACATAAATAAATACAATATAAATGGTAAAAAAAGATTAGTGCCTTTTTAATGTATTTATTGGTGTTGATCTTTTCATTAATCTGATTATTATTATTATGTCGCTTTTTTGTTTTCATAATGTATGTAAATGTGCACTTTTCACTGCAGATCTAAGTCTCAAAACAGTTTACAATTGTTAATTTTGGGCATTTTGGGCATTTGTCTCTCAGAGATGGGAGCGGGGTCGCCAGTACAGGAGGCGCATATTTTTAGTGGTAGGGGAAACCGGAGTACCCTGAGGAAACCTACGCAGACACAGGGAAAACATGCAAACTCCACTCAGAAAGGCCCTGGTCCGACCAGGATTCGAACCCAGGACCTTCTTGCTGAGAGGCGAGAGTGCTCTCACCGTGCCGCCCAGTCAGGTTCCCGTATGGAAATTTGTCCTCTGCATTTGGCCCATCCTCATGTGACTAAGGAGCAATGGTTGCCATAGTAACAGCGCCCAGGAACCCATCTCCAGATGTTGATGCTTGGCATGGTCAGGACTGGAGGATTTTACCTAGTGAGCATATTTGTTAGTGGTAGGGGAAACCGGAGCACCCGGAGGAAACCTACACAGAGAACATGCAAACTCCACTCAGAAAGGCCCTGTTCCGACTGGGATTTGAACGAGAGTGCTATCCACTCCGTGCGGCCCCATATTCTTCTGTGATATAGTTTTTTCACTATATAGTATAAGTATTCTTCCTTACATCCTCCAAACCTGACTTTGAGCAGACTTGCATCTCCACAAACCTGACTCACTCTCCTCTTTTCTCTTGGAATTGCTGTCCATTCGCCGATACAATATAAAAAACACGATTTATCTTCAATGTATGTGGCAAACTGTCACTTTAACAATGTCCACCGCACAATATACAGTGAACAGCAGTGAAAAACATGAACAGTTTCAGCTCTAACGTCTTTAGAACGTGGCAAATACAACCTTTATATGATTAGCATTTTATTTTCTTTCTGCAATAACAGGTTGTGTCACTGATAGCATACTGATGCAATATGGTGGAAGAGTTAATAGTGTGCAGTTTGGTGTGAATGAGCCAACAAAACAGTAGGAAAATCCCATCAGGAGCGATGAGGTATTTTTGGTTTGTTTGTCTCCAGTGGACCATGCTGACTGCTGCCGAGCGCTGTGTGTATAGGGCGGCTGGAAATGTCTATTCATCATTTTCTAAGTTTACCTGGGCAGAACGCATTTACCAGAAGCATATCGGCCACGAGAATCTCTCTACTCTTCCAAATCACAGACGAAACATTGCAATCCGCCAGCTGATTGCAGTTATTTTCTTGGCTCTTTCTTTAGTTGAATTGTTTCCTGGCCCTTTCAAATTGAGTTTACCATGTGAGAAACAATGCGCCGGCAATGGTTGATAGACTGTTTAACAAGACAATAAAAATGGAAGCAAGGGGTCATGACTTTTTCAAGAACTCCAAACTTTGTTCCCATTCCATCACACAGAACCTTTGCATATGAAAAATAACTCCTGTACACGTTGGTGCTTTGCGGTCTTTTGCGCATACCTCTTTGTCAAATAACTTGGATGAGTGGGAGGGTTGCCATTTTATTTTCAAATGTATTTATTCATAGATCTGATATTTTACACAACCTCTGCTTGCATTCCATGTTCCAAAGAAAGCTAATTTCCTCGCCACGCCATAGACTTTCAGCAGGTATACGCACTATATAAGCTGTAGATCTCACTCACTTTGGCCTGTGCATTCGCAAAAGCCTGAATTTGAACTTGGTGAGCAGGCGTCAGATTTATATGCATGCCCCTTCTTTTGATGACAGGGTAAATATTCCGACCAAGCGGCAAGGTGCCCCCATCATTACTCGTGTGCCGTGTGTTTGCCCACCAGTTAAATTCTTAGGGGGATTGTTTGGCGAGATGAATGGGGCCAAAGTGCTGAAGGACATACCGGGAGTTCAGCAAACAAAAGCTGCCCTGATTGGCTCGACAGCAGCTCACTGCAGCAGGCCAAGTTAGCAGCAACACGGTGAGGAGCCGGAGCAGAGAGCCTTTGGGTTTTGCCTGTCAATTAAAGGCACAGTGAATGGCTGTGAGGTGCTCTGCTTGCCATCTCAACGTCCTGTTGGATGAGTGGAGATAGCTGAGGTGCTGCTCACCTGAAATAGGAAAAACCCTGTCAATATTCATCTATTTAATAACCCTGAACGTGCTGCTCGCAGTGCCTTTTGAAGACTGTGGGGTCCCTTTGATGTACCCTCATTGTCAGACTCTCTATCTGAAATCTTCGAAGATGGAATTGGTGACATTTTCTCTTTTTTCCATTCATCCAATCCAACCTCAAAGGTTTCCTGCAGTATTTCTTTCGTCCAGGAGGCTTTGTTGTACGGATAGGAGGGGGGCATTCAAGTTGGCGGCAGTTTCCAACTAGGATTTCTATCAATGGGTAATGGAACACCGGGAGATTTAAGCTTGGATCTGACTCACAAAATATAGATTTTATGTAACTTGCTTACCACAAGATTGACTTTTCTTGAGAAATCCAGTCTGCTCCATATATCAGCTCTCAAAGATTGTTTGAAGAGGCTATACAAACATGACCATTCATGATGTTTTTTAGAAGTTCAGGTAAGCAGAATAACCTTCTTGGTCATTCATTTGTTTGAAATCATTCTGCCGGAGAACAATTTATTCTGATTGTCTATTTGACATGTCACAGATACAGCAGTGAATTACAGTCAATGTATTTGATTATCACAATAAACATCAGGAAACACATGCTGTGTGTCTGTTTAGACCTTTACATCATTACCACCATTACAAAAGTATCAATACAGTTTGTTATGAATACGCCAACAAAATCTCTCTCAACAAAGTCTCAACAGAATATTGCAGACAGAATACAGTAGCTCAAACACCATCCATCCATTTTCTTCCCATTAATCAATGGGTGATAACATGGAATTGAATATGCTGTGGAATGCTAATATGTTGCCCTGATGATAGAATAAAGCTTACCTGTGTTCAATCTACTCTCAGTGGAATCACAGCTGTACTGTGATGTTTTGGTTCATTGGTCATTAAACAGCATGAGGACGTCCAAGGAGCACACCAGGCAAGTCAGGGTAAAGTTGTGGAGATAGAAATGAAAAGCGGGTTATACAAAGATTTCCCTTTCTTTGAACATCGCACAGAGCACTGTTCAATCCATAATTTAGAAATGGAAAGAGAAAGGCACAACTGCAAACTTATCAAGACACGGCTGTCCACATAAACAAACAAGCCAAACAAGGAGTTGGTGCTGAGCTGGGGGAATCTGTACATGGGGCAATTATTAGTTACTTCACACATCAGGCCTCTGTGGACGAGTGAATAACAAGCCAGTCTTCAAAAAGCAAAGTGGGGGACACATCAAACATGTTGAAGAAGGTGCTGTGCTCAGAGAAGAATATAGCCAAACTACTTGG